GCCTCAAGACTGCTGAAGGTGCAGAAAGCTATTGTTTTAGCTGGAGACAGCTCTAGAATACCCTTTCTCTGGTATTTGAGTTAATTTTTGGCAAAGAAGAATGCACTCGAAGTTCAAGTTCTTTAAAAATTTCTGAGCATTTTTTTTAAAAAAATAAGGGTTTGGGGAGTGGGGGAAACTGACCAGCAGTCTGTGTTTTGTAAGCTACTGCAGTGCTTTTTGTCTGGTGGTTCCCGTATGGAATGTTTGATATGCCGTAAATGACCCTCGGAAACAACTTTCTGAGAAAAGTTGAATGTGGAATTTGATCCTAAGCAGACGTTGTTCTATAATCTATTTTCTGTTGTTTGGGCTGGAAATTATTTATACGTGTGTGTGTATAAATTAGGGTTGCCAGCTCTGGGTTGGGAAATACCTGGAGGATTTTGGGGTGGAGCCTGGAGAGGATGAGGTTTGGGGAGGGAACTCAGCAGGGTATAATGCCATAGAGTCCATCCTCCAAAGCAGCCCCTTTCTCCAGGGGAACCAATCCCTGTTGTCTGGAGATCAGTTGTAAAAGCTGGGGGTCCTCTGACCCCACCTGGAGGTTGGCATCCTTAGGATAAATAATTTCCAGCCCATACAGAAGAAGAAGAGGAGGAGATGGGATTTATACACCACCCTTCACTACCCGAAGGAGTCTCAGAGCGGCTTACAAACTCCTTTCCCTTCCCCTCCCCACAACAGACACCCTGTGAGGTAGGTGGGGCTGAGAGAGCTCTGACAGAAACTGCTCTTTTTCAAGAACAGCTGTGCCAGAACTATGGCTTGCCCAAGGTCATCCAGCCAGGTGCAAGTGGAGGAGTGGGGGAATCAAACCCGGTTCTCCCAGATTAGAGTCTGCGCAGTTAACCACTACACCGAACTGGTTTCCCTTATCAGAGAGAGCCCCATGCCTTATTTTTAGAAATTCAGCTAAAGAAATTAAGCACAATTTTATGAAGACAATAGAGGGCAGATTTTCCTTTTCAGTTTACAGTTCTCAGCAGCGCATTGTCACATCCATATAGTTCCTTCGATAGCTTTATTGGTTCATAACTAGCAACTGCATCTGAGAAGGTCATTCAATAATTTTTTAGAAATGTAGTGGCTAGAAGGCTGAATTCTTACTCTGGAGACAGGGTTCAAATCCCCATGCTGCCTTTCAAGCTCACTGGGTGACAATTAGTCTACCTCACAGGGCTGTTATGAGGAGCACTGTGCTGATCCAAGAGCAGGATACCAACGTACTAGATAGTGTGGTGCTTAAAGACTCTTCTTCCACCACTGTGATCCACAGTGGGTTTTGCAGTAACAATGAGTCAATTGGGCCATTCATGTTTCAGTCCATAATGACCATTTCACGTTTTGAAAGTTCTTCATGTATATATCAAATGTGAACAACTCACCCTATATCTGCAACTCTGGAGATGCAGAAGAGCTGTTATTGTGATTGTGTTCTTTTCTGTTCCATTTCTGAAGCACTCTAGTTGGTAGTGAGAGGCTGTTAACTGCAATCTGGAGCTATCAACTGCAGCACTGTTCGGAGCCAAGAAAATGTATTTAACACGGAGGCTTTTTTCTTTTTTTGCGTTAAAACACGATAGCTGGGTATCTCTGTCCTTCACATTTTCAAGGGGACAAGTGAAACGGCTGAGGTAGAGTTTGGAGCCAGTTTGCAGTTGGAACTGGACAAAGGGAAGCTAGATATTTATTTATTTATAGCCCACTTTTCTTGCTGGGATGCGAGGCAGAATACAAATGATAGAAAACAATTTGATCATACAGCATAAGACAGTACATCCAACACTGCAGGCTGTTCTTCCATGTGGGAGCTGCTCCAGGGAACGTGGACGAAGGGGTGGTTGAGGATCTTACCTGTCTGCAGGATGGCTCCTTTGGGAAACCTTGGGGCTAAGAGGCTCTTTCTGAATCTGAGGCAGGTATTTTCTGCCTGCTTATAGGAATCTGTTTGCTTCCACTATGTTCTTCTTGCATATTTGTAAGTATCACACAAGTGCTTCTTGTTCAACTGCAGCTAAACATAAAGATCAGCTTTACACTGAATCAGAACATTTGTTTATACAACTCTGTATTGTCTTCCTTGCCTGGCAGCAGTTCTCCAAAGTCTCTAGCAGAGAGCGATCTTTTTTCAGAGCCTAACGAGACATTTCAAACTGCATGCGTTCACCACAGAGACTCGCAGCTATACTGTATCCGCTAGCACCTGGTGGCGACTCATGAGTCAAAGCGCAGCAAGGCCTGATTCTGAGTGGGACCATTGTGGAGGAGGAGGAATTCCTGTCCTCTCTCCTGTGCTCTTTCTGGTGGCTGAAACAGCCCAGGGGTCTTCGGAGAGGGGAATTATTTGCTCTGTGGGGAGGCAGCACTTGCAAGCATCCAGTGAACGTGCAGGCTCCCAGTGGAGCAAATAATGCACTCCACCTGCTGCACCCCCAGCTGCTTCAGCTGCCAAAAAGAGTACAGTGGAGAAGACAGGAATTCTGTCTCTCGCACAGTGGTCCCTGTTCAAATCAGGTAGTGCTGTGCTTTTGGTCACGAGTTGCCACCAGGAACCAGCATCTGCAATATCTTTGCAAGCTCCCCTTGGAAAACTTGTGTGGTTTGTGATGTCCACTGAGGCTCTCAGTGCTTCTTTCTGAAATCCTTCAGCTGAAGATGTCGGCACTGGCAGCTGGACCTTGGGGTTCTTTTGCATGCAAAGCCGGCGTTCCATGACTGTGTGAGCCCCGTAGCACCATTTGACTCCTTACTGCTTAGAGAACTGGGAGGGCACAATGGCTTTCTTCTGGCAGGTCTAGTGTATTAGCTCTCAAGGGGATCAATTGCGCTTTGACTGTAGACTCATCCGTAAATGTGACATAAGCTCAGGGCTATTTTTGGGCAGGAACGCACAGGAACGGAGTTCCGGCTGGCTCCCAAGTTGGCCACGCCCAGCGGGAACTCATTAGCATAATAGGCCACATCCAACAGCAGAAACTCATTAGGATTGGCTACATTAGGGGTGTGTGGCCTAACATGCAAAGGAGTTCATGCTACAAAAAAAGGCCCTGGGTTTTGACAACAAACAAGGTAAACAGAATAAGAAGCAAAAGGTGGGTGTGGCTGGATAACCACACTTCTGGTAACATGGGGGTGCGGCCTAATATGCTAATGAGTTTCTGCTGTTGGGTGTGGCCTATTATGCTAATGAGTTCCTGCTGGGCTTTTTCTACAAAAAGAGCTCTGCATAAGCTAATACCACCTTCCCTTAATGTGCGTGTTAAGGAAATGCTTTCGCTGAAGTTGAAATAATGTATTTAATATCTACTGCAACCTACCGACTAGTTTGACCCTCCTTTAGGGAACAGATGCTGCAGTCTAATCTCTGTGCCTTTTGCTGAGGGCACCCGTCTTGTTTCCATTAAAGTCACCTGATCTTTGCTTCTCCCTTCCAGATGGGAGAAAGAGTAAACTGAGTGAATACCGATGGTCACCCGGCATCCATAGTTTTCAGTTTTTCAGCCTCTAAGGATGGCTTCAGTGAGAACTGAGCCTGCGTGCGGGGTATAAATGAAATGAAATAAATAAATAAACAACATTATGCAGTAGCTGGGAAACTGAGAGCCTAATAAGTCATGGGCATTTCTCTTCTACGAACAATGTTTTCTTGATCCACATGTCATCTGGGTTGTACTGGCAGCATATGGGCTGTTTCAGCCACACTGGCAATTACCCTTGCATTTTCGTGCTGCTACCTAAACACATGACCTTCATTGGAATGCTGGTGTGAGACTTTCATCACCTGGATGCTATCCCCTGATTCCTTGCAGCTTCAAGCATGCTTCTTATCTCATTCAGAATAAGGAGCTCATTCTTCTGGCATCACCAAAAATATCAGTTCATAGTTTGCAACTAAACATGGGAATGCCATTAAAAGACTAAAAGCCACTGAAGCAGTGGTTTGAAAGCTGACGTAGGATCCAATGTTTAGATGATCAAAATAAGATTGGGGACTGTGGCTTAGTAGAGGGGATAGGTGGATCAAGATTAGAGATGTAAAATTTCCAGAAATTTTGAAGCTTGGAAAAAAACCTGGGTTTTCCCCGGAAAAAAACAGATTTTTTTTGGAATTTTTTTTAAAAAATGCTACATTAGCACTTCTTTTTTCTTTTCCAGATTGAAAGTCATTCTGTTACTTTAGGAACATAATATATGCCTATGGACATTTTTACTTGGCATGAAATTATCACAACTAGCACATTAAAAATATAGTGTATCCAAACAACTATTACAAACAGAATACTTTCCCACATGCAAAAACAAAACTGAAAACTTTTTTTGTGACAATACCACCTCCTAAACGAAGAAATGCATCTTGTTCTTGCATTGGAGAGTTCAGTTTGTAACCTAGGACTTGCTTGTCCTCAGTGCATAGAAATTAGATCAATTTGATACCATACATATTTTTTAGAAATGATTTGGAAAATATTTGAACATCTTGTCTTAAAATACTTTATTCATCATGTTAAAATGAAATGTTCCATAATCAATTCTTTCCCCCCCCCAATTTTTCCAATTTTTTGGAAAAAAACAAAAAAGGTTTCAGGAAAAAAATGGGGAAAAACCGTTTTCCCCCCCGAATTTTTCCGTTTTTTTCCTGGCCCTTCACATTTCTAATCAGGATATCAGTGAAGGAGCTGCTGCTCAGTGGTCGAGCACCTGCTCAGCATGCAGAAGGTCCCAGGTTGAATCCCTGGCATTTCCAGTAAAAGGGATTAGGTAGCAGGAGATGTGAAAGTCCTCTGCCTTGAGTTCTGGAGAGCTGCTGACATTCTGAATAGGTTTAGTTTGATGGACCAGTGGTCTGATTCAGTATAAGGCCACTTCATTTCTTCACGTGTATCGTGTTGGACTGCTTGATTCTATTCCTGAGTTATCTAGTGTTGTGGCACCGATTTACTGTTTCTCCTACATTGCAGGCCAAATGTATGTCCGGAACAAGAAGTGGCGATGGTGGCCCATCAGCAGCCATGTGTACAAGCCTTCACCCGTTTTGTGAAAACATGGAAGCAGGATTGTGGGGCCCAGAGGTGGTGCGTGAGCCATGAGAGAAGGTAACGCACAAACTCTGTGTGTATGTTTGCTAAATTTTATTCCTCTTTTCAGCCATATATTAGTACCAAAAGCAGGTCACAGGGATTATTTATTTTATTTATTTTTTATTTAGCTTTCAGTTTCTATACCGCTCTAACCCCGAAGGGTCTCTGCGCGGTTTACATACAATTTAATTGTCTATCTAGGGCCACATTTTACATAGGGAGGTGACTGCCTACCGGCACCCAGACAATGCACAGGACAATGGAACAAAAAGGTCTCTTTGAGAGCGGATTCTTAGCTGGCTGCTTTGTTTTCATTGTTTTTTAAAATAATATATACACACTTTCCTGCCCAGTGGGGACCCAAAGCAGCTTATCGCAACATTCTCTCTTTGTCTTCAAAACAACTACCATGGGAGGTAGGTTACGCTGAGAGTCTTCAAGCCACTTTGAACCGAGAGGAAAAGTGGGATAGAAATCTTTAAATAAATAAATGGGCCAGGGATCACCTGGAGAGCTTCCATCGCAGAACAGGAATTCACACCTGGTTCTCTCATGTCCTAGCCCAGCACTCTAACCCAGGGGTGTTAAACATACGGCCCATGGGCCGGAACCTGCCCATCCAGGGCTTTTGTTTGGCCCACGAGCAACTGGTCATTACCTTGATTGCCAGATGACAGAGGCTGTCCATTACATCCCTAGATGCTGTCGCAGTGCTGATGAGTAATGGGCAGTGGAAGTGGGAGGGTGGACATCAGGGAGATACTTTTAAGGAAATACCAGAAAAGAGAGTCCAGTGTTTAATATCTTGAATAAAATTCTGTTGGTCTTAAAGGTGCCACTGGACTCAAACTTTGTTCTAAGGAAATAATGTAAGAGTGTTAAATGTTTTAAGCCTGTATTTTGAGTAAAAAATAAAATTGTTAATTGGAGTTGCCTGTGTCCTTTATAAAGTTTATATCTCCTGTTCCTGGCATTACATTTTATGGTATGCATGGCTTGGCCCGACAAAGTGACATTTATGTTAGATCCAGCCCTTGTAACAAATGAGTTTGACACCTCTGCTCTAACCAGCCTGTAGTGCTGGCTGTCAGCTCTTGATTGCTTCTTGCCTTCTCTTCTAATAATGTTTGTAAGCTGGAACGGGAGAGCTCCTCTTGGTTGGAGCTGTATCCAGGCATGTTAGATGGAAGCCTGGCTGCTTCCTACCCTCCTTCCCTCTGACGATCTCTTTGATTTTTGCTTTTAATTTTCTTATTAAAAATTATGGAAGTAGCAGAAACTTGGAGATCATTCCCAGAGGAGTGAAGTAACTTTTGCACAGAATGTAGAATGGACAGACTTTGCATAAAGAAATGCACTGGATACAGTTGTATGGGGTTTTTTTGTTTGCTTTTGGATTGGCCTGTTGACGTATGTATCTCCCCCAGGTAACAGGTAGGGAAGCTTTTGTTAATTGGAAAACAGTTGGTTCTTCTATGCCACAGAAGTACTGCAGAAGATAAATTTAGGAATGCCAGGGCAGACACACGAGTAATAAAATTTTATTGTTTTAGCCATTAGCTTTTACGACAGGAGTTGTGTCAGTGGTGGCCATAACACATGCTCAAACAGCATGAAACTCTCAAGTTGAGCACTGGAAAAATAAGTACAGCATTGGATCCCTGGGATATTAACCTAGGAGGCTATCCAGGACCTATTCATCCTTTCTGACTGCTCATTGAACAAATGTTGGGTCATCGTTCATGATTAAGAAATCTTGTTTTCTGCATATTTCCCCCTCTTTCTTTACAAGTTGGATCCATGTTCTCACATTATACCTGGCCTAATTAAAAGGTCTGTGGACTCTTATTTTCAATAGGCTGGTATTACAAAGCTCCTCTCTCACTGGCTGGAAGGGGAAAAATGTTTCGGTATAATTAGTTCTTAGCCATTGTGTTCTACAAATGTGAGGATCTGGAAATGGCCGCTCATGTGTTTGATTTGGCAGTATAGGTGTGGGTGCAGTATATGAAAGGTTAGCCTCCTTTGTGCAAGAATGCATTGCAAACTTGTGAAGGGACAATAGTACTAAAATAGTTCCCCATTTCAGACTGGGGGAACGCAATATTGCTGTCTTTAAGGGCAAGTGGACAAACTGAATCCAGTTTTTAAAGAATAGGGGAGCCCCTCCCCATTCAGTTCCCCACTTTGTAGCCACTTTCTGCCTGCTTCACTTTTCCCAGTAAAGCTGAATTATATAGGATGGGGCTACAACTACAGCCCTTTTCCATGCATGGCTGGCCATGTTTAAAGGCACTTTCCATATATGTAGGCTTATTGGTGTCCACCATGCTGGTAACTCTTGTGGTACATGAGGAAACCAGATTCACTTTGTCTTCACCATTCTCCTTTAAGGTGTTTTCCATATGAGGATACGCTTGTGTGGTTTCCCCATGGTTCTTGCAGCTGCTCCTAACAGCACAGCAGCAGTGGGGCTTCCACAGAGCAGATTTTCCTGCATTTACCCTGTTCCAGTCCCCCAACAGCATCTGTCCCTCCCCCTCATGCCCCTGGGAGCTTTTCTGGGGGGTTTTCTTTTTAAATCAGCAATTGAACCTCATTGTCATGTTATAACAACCTGTCTGTCAGGTTCTCTGAATCCTCATCTTTCATTTTTTAAAATGTATGCCTTTTGCCCTTCTCATTGTGGAGATTTAAGGGGACAGGTATCTCTCTGTGGTAAAAAAAAAAAAGCTAGAGGTTTGGTTTTTTAAAATGAAAGTCGGGATTTCAAAGAACATGATAGACAGGTTGTTACAAAAATACTCAATTGCTGATTAAAAAAACAGCTCTCCAGTCATGGGGGAAATGGCCACTGCAGGAGTCCAGACTGAAAAGATGACGCTGATTGGGACAGGACTGGGAAGATCCAGATTTTCCTGTCGACATGGGTGCCACCCTAGCTTTGTTGTGATCTTTCCCAAAACAGGAAAGCCGGGGGAAACCTGAGAGCTGCACAGAAACACCATAACACTGGGGTGTGGGGGATGCTTTCAAAGAACACTGATAACTGGGTGTGAGCAAGGTGGTTATACAGATGAAACTCTGTAGCCATAACTTGGACTGTATTGCAAAAGATAAGTGCCTGTTCCCGCACAAGTCTGTTTGAAAATATATCTGAATATAAGCACAGTTAAAGTCACAAATCCAGTACGTAAAACAAAGTTCTTCCAAAATTATGTATACACTAGAAATAATGCCCGTTGCGGAAATAAATACAACGGGATCTAGAAAGAGGCTCTGGGAGAGTGCTCTGGCTTTGGGCAAACAGTGTCAGTTTCCTGTGGCGACCTCAGCAGGGTTTAATGACAGAGTCCACTGTTTTCTCCAGAGGGACTGATCTCTGCTACCTGAAGAGCATTTGTATGTTTGAGTTATCTGTAGCCCTCACCTGGAGAGTGGTAACCATTGTTACCCATTCACCTCTCCCCTATGAGGTATGTTATGCAACTGAAAATTCCAACTGCCTTGCGGGGGGGGGGGAGTTTGAGGTGTGGAATGGACTGAAGTCCAATCAGCTTCCATATGCAAAAGACCAGGTTGTCGCACAGTTGTGGTGTGGGCGCGACCCGGGCTTTGCCTTCTGATTGGTGGCGATATATGCTGAGGAGCAGTGCCATCAGCCATACACTAAGGGAGTGCATTTTAGAATTAGAACTTTGGCACCCACTATTCAATTATATATAAGGAGAGATTGCCATCAAGTTGCAGCAGATTTATGGTGACCCCATAGGGTTTCCAAGGCAGGAGATGTTCACAAGTAGTTTGCCACTGCTTGGCCTCTGCATAACAACCCTGGTATTCCTCGGTGGCCTCCCATCCAAATACTAACCAGGGCCAACTCTGCTTAGTTTCTGAGATCTGAAGAGATCGAGCCAGCCTGCGCCATCCAGGTCAGGGTCAAACCAATAATAATAGACCACTAGATCTGGACCTATGAAATGCAGCTGACTTGAAAGTATAATATCCAAAGCTTTCTCCACAGCAGCTGAACTCCCAGAGAGAAGACAAAGGAGAATGGCATTTCACCTGTGTTAGATGTAAAAAGTCCAGAGAAAGGGGGCCAGCATGCATCTGGGGGGCACAAAACTCTCATCAGCCATCTGGTACAAAGTCCTCCTGTCACCTCCCAACAAACATAAGAAATGTGTAATGTTGGCCCTCCCCACTACAACTTACAGGTTTCCATGGAGGATAAATTGATGGTATGGGTGTTTCCTGAGCACTGGTTTGGAAGAACCACCCCTTTGTATAAATGAATAATGTGCCATGAAGTGTTGGATGCAGACAATGACTGTTTTCTGAACCATCTCAAACTAGGATAGTTTTTGACCATTTTTTTTGGGTAATTTTTTAAATAGAACTGGCTACTACACCATCTATAAGCAAGTGTACAGCATGGAGCATCACACTGTCTTTAAGTGTTGTCCTGGCTGGGGCAGGAAAAAGGATGATGAACCTGGATGCCTACATGGTAAGTGTTGGGTTTGTCCAATACTGGGTCCACTTCTCACACTGTGCTGCTTGGGTGAGAACATACCTTAAATCAGGGGTCCTCAACAGTGTTCCCTCTAAGAAGAAGAAGAGATTGGAGCCAGCCTAGGCCAGAAGGGTGGGATAAAAATCAATAAAATCAATCAATACATTTATACCCTGCCCTTCCCTCGGTGTCTCAGAGCAGCTTACAAATTTCTTTCCATTCCTTTCCCTTCCCCACAACAGACACCCTGTGAGGTAGGTGGGGCTGAGAGAGCTCTTTCCAGAACTGCCCTTGAGAGAACAGCTCTGACAGAACTATGGCTTGCCTAAGGTCATCCAGCAGCTGCAAGTGGAGGAGTGGTGAATCCAACCCAGTTCTCTCAGATTAAAGTCCGCTCACTTAACCACTACACCAAGCTGAGTTAGTGTGAGCTAGCTCACGGTTTTTTAGCCTCCAGCTCACACATTTTTGTCTTAGCTCGAGAAGGATGGCTCCAGAGCAAACTAATTTATGCAGTAGCCAAATCACAACTCACTCACAACTTTAATGCCAGTAGCTCACAAGGTAGAAATTTTGCTCACAAGACTCCAACAACTTAGAGGGAGTGTTGGTCCCCAATATTTTTTTGTGACCACGGGCAACCTTGAAATTCTGAGAGTGGATGGTGGACCCAACCACAAAATGGCAGCCACAAGTGGGGGAGCCAACTGCTGAATCATAGGGAGGGGGGGTTATGCATAACTCCAATAGTAACTCTTGAACATTTCAGGCAGAAGCTCCACTTAGCATGATGCATTTTCTTAAAGTAACATCTTGTTTAAAAACATTTGCTTGTAGACACACAGTTGTCTTTAGTCCTGCCGTGAAGATCCTTGTGCTGTGGTGACAGCTGTTGTTGAAACAACTGTTAAAAAAAAATTGCACAGCAAATCAGATCTTGAATGGCCAGTCAGAAACCCTGATGAGCAAAAGCCCCACCCGCCCCACCACTTTCTAAAAACACTAATGGCAAGTGCCAGGAAAGGTGCCCGTCGGCATCATATTGGGGAACCCTGCCTGAGAGGTTCTCTTCAAGTTTACTCATTAAAAAAAAACAAGTGAGTTTCCATGTATATGAAACTGCCGTGTGCTAAAACAGATTGTTGGTTCCTTTGACTCAGCATGACCCACCCGGGCAGGTAGCAGCTCTTCAGTGTCTTCACAGAGAAAGGTTCTTTCTAAAAGCTACAAAAAAATCTGGACACACACGACCCAATCAGTTAAACAAGTATAAAGCCAACAGTCGTGATAGTCTGACCCACAAATCAAACAGTCATAAGACTTATAAAGAATGCTGTTTATGTATTGCAATCTAAAGCACTACAACATGATCAACGTCTTCTCCGGATTACATAACTATGTTTTAAAAAAATGGATCTTCTTCGGGAGATATTATAGTGGTGCCAAAGCTCTCAGTTTCATAAATGTTAGACAACAAGTCTTAAGAATATTAAATTCAGATAGGATGCTGATCTCAATTAACATTCAAGCTCAAAATATGCTGCTATGTTTCTACTGGATCCCGGGCGTCTCTTTATAAACAGCATTCTTTATAAGTCTTATGACTGTTTGATTGTGGGTCAGACTATCACGACTGTTGGCTTTATACTTCTTTCTAAAAGCTGCCACCTAAGGTGGTTTAACTGGAGAAGCTAGCATTGGACCTGGAACCTTCTGCATGCCAAGCATATGTTCTTGTTCTACCACTGAGCTCCAGATGTGTTCATGTTTGGAAGCAGACATGTTAAAAAGATACCAGTCGCTTGGAAGGTCAGATGGTGCAAATTGATAGTTAAGTAGCAACTGAAATATTTTTTGTGTGTGTGTCCTGGAGCCTTTGCAGACTTCACACCTTAACACACCCTTGTTGACTCCCCCTTTGCTCTCTAGCTTTGTGCTCTGTCAGAACTTGCTTCAACGGAGGGAAATGCTATGGCGGAACGTCTCAGATGTGCCAGTGTCCAGAGGGATTTCAGGGCCTGCGGTGCCAGTATGGTGAGCTGGAACTCTTAGATTGTCTTGAAACGGGTCCCATCAGCATTTTACCTTCATTTAGGGTTGCCAAGTCTGGCTTGGAAAATTCCTGGAGATTTGGTGACCGGTGCCTGGGGATGATGGAGTCTGGGGAGGTGAAGGAGCTTGGCAGGGCTGTGACCAATGTTCCCTCTAAGCTGCGGAGTCTCGTGAGCAAAAATTCTTCTCTGTGAGCTCCTGGCATTCAAGTTGTGAGCGAGCGATTTGGCTACTGCATAAATTAGTCTGCTCTGGAGGCCTCCTTCCTGAGCTAAGGCAAAAATGTGTGAGCCGGAGGCTAAAAGACTGTGAGCTAGCTCACACTAACTCAGCTTAGAGGGAACAGTGGCTGTGATGCCATAGAGTCCACCTTCTGAAGCTGCTCTTTTCTCCAGAAGAACTGATTTCCATGGTTTAGACATCAGTTGTAATTCCAGGAGAACTCCAGCCCCCCATTTAGAAGTTGGCAACCCTAACTCCATTACATGGAAATCCACTGAGAGGGAGTCACACTGCAGTGGCTTAGTTCTGTTGGGACTTCTTGAGTCAGTACACTGTCCTTCTAAGGTTGCACAGATTCTGTGACCAACAGAATGCCTAGATTGGGGTAAGAGTTCTGTGTTTTACACAGAGCGATCTAAGCAAGTATCTAGGCATCGTGGTGGCATAGTTCCTGCATCAAGTCGTTCAGTTGGTGTACAAGTGGTTGTGTGGGGTTTGCTGAAGGTTGCTTTGTATGTATGGCTAACACTCTTCGGTCTTGCTGGTTAACGGGTGGGCAGAGTAGGAAGGGTTGAAGGAAGGGTAATGCTGGTGTCTCCACATAAATAATCTGGTCTGAAGCATTTGCCAACAATTAACTTTCTGAATGAAATCTTTCCCTCCACGTCTCAGGCAGGGCTCTTTTTGTAGAAAAAGCCCAGCAGGAACTCATTAGCATAATAGGCCACACCCAACACCAGAACCCTATTAGCATATTAGGCCACACCCTGCCAGCAAAGCTCATTAGCACATTAGGACGCATCCACATGTTACCAGAAGTGTGGTTATCCAGCCGCACCCACATTTTGCTTGTTATTCTGTTTACCTTGTTTGTTGTCAAAACTCAGGGCCTTTTTTGTAGCAGGAACTCCTTTGCATGTTAGGCCACACATCCCTAATGTAGCCAATCCTAATGAATTTCTGCTGTTGGGTGTGGCCTATAATGCTAATAGGTTCCTGCTGGGCGTGGCCAACTTGGGAGCCAGCCGGAACTCCGTTCCTGTGCGTTCTGCCCCCAAAATAGCCCTGGTCTCAGGTAAGGGAGCTGGAGCTGGGTTTAGGTGGTCACGTATATAGTTGTGGGGAATGCTGGGAGTGTTCTCATTCCACAATGGAATGTCCACCAGTGTCGCTTAATGACTGATGTCATCAACATTCATTTCTAAGCTTAAATTGCATGGAGGAAATTGGGTGAGTCATTCTTGGCTGCATGAATAGAACCTTTCCAGATGCAATGTAAAGTTGTTTATTTTTTTAAAAAAAATTGAGCTGCCTCTCCAGAGATCCACTTGCTGGTGGCTCTGAAGGTAACACAGACTATCCTTACTTTTGAGGGTGTGTTCTCTGATGGTCATGCCTGCTATGGAACAGCTTCCGGGAAGAGGTAAGGCAGGCACTGACCCTCAAGGCCTTCCCTGCACAGCTGCAAGACAGGAAGGGAGCCCGAGGGTCATCTAGTCTAACTCCCTGCACAGTGCAGGAAATTCACAGCTACCTCCCCCCCATTCCTCCAGTGACCCCTGCTCTGTGTCCAGAGGTATGATGTAAAAGACCTTATGGGGCAGTTTGAATGGGCTCTGATGGAACTGTTTTAGTTAACTGTTATCAACTATTTATTTGTGTTAATTTTAATGGATGATTATTTTTATTTTATCTCTTGTTGTTACCGGTCTTGGGTTCTTGCTGGGAGAAAGGTGGGCTATAAGGAAAGTCCGAGTTCAGTCAATACACAATAAATGCAGACAAATACAATAAAAAATAAAAAGACCATACGATTCTCAATATAAAAACAAGCCATAAAAATCACCAGCAGATGTGGATCCTTCTGTTGGAAGCACAAAAATGGGGCCCATGTTCCATCTGCACCTGCACAATGTCAGCTTCAGCAGAAACTTTACTGCTCCCTTTGACTTTGACAGGGGAATGCCGGAGGAATCTGGGGCCATGCTTCAAATCTCCAGTTGTCAATGCAGCGATTACTTTTAATGTCTAAGTGCTAAGGCATTCCCTGGAGCAGGCAAGGCATATGGCATTCAAAAGCGGGGGAATTGTGTTGGAGCTGCAGTATGTGCAAGCGATAAGGTCAGATCCTGGAATCCAAACAAGATTGTGTGGTTGTTATTTCCTGGGGAGCTGACGAGTGCTGACACGACGCCTGTGAAAACAATGCCACTTAGTCTGCTGTTTCTGGTTCTTTGCAATGGGGCTGGGGGAGGGTTTTTTATCTTAGTGGGTCTGCACACTTTCTACTGATTGCTGAGCACCCAGATGGAATTTCTTCAGTCATCGCTTCTGAAGTTTCATTGTTAGTTAAAATGGTTATTGAGAAGCTGCCGGGAGTAGATCTGCAAATCAGATACTATGGGGGAGGGGGAAGAATCGATTTGTAAATAATGGTTCAGGGTCATTTGTTCTCTTGGGAAAGGAATGCAAAAGCCCCCATAACTGTTGCAAACAGCTCTGCCAGGTGTGTGTTCTGAGGTTGCTATGGAGTTTGTAACCACTGCTTTGATAGTGAAGATCTTCAGAAAGGCATTAGGTTTGAAATACCCTCTCTGTGGTTGAAAATGCTTGAAATGGGAGTTAGTAGTCTTGGGAAAGAAACCTGAGATAACTGCTGCATTATTTGTTTGCATAAACTACTCCCTTGCTATAAAACCAGTATTAAGCCATGTGATTAAAATCTTGTTGGCCTTGTAAGGTTTCCTAGTAGTAATGCCTGCCTCTGACCTGTATGGCCCAGGTTAGCCCAGCAGGGTCATCCCTCATTAGTATTTGGATGGGAGACCACCAAGGAAGACCAAGGCTGCTATGCAGAGGTAGGCAATGTAAACTGTTTCTGCTGTTCTCTTGCCTTAACCTTAGAGTGCCATACGTCAGCTGCCACTTGATGTCCCTTCCCACCAGTAATACCTGTACCATTGGTCTTCAGTTGATAATCATGGCCAGCAGTTGGACTATGCCCTTATCTAAGGTGGGTTGCATCAAAAGTCTCGGCCACGGGGATGAAAGTAATTATTACTGGTACTCTTTCTCAGGGTGGGGGGCTCAAAGCAGAAAGTGGGAGGTACCATTGGCCACTCCTGGTACTGAATACTGGCCCATACTGATACTTACCACCACAATGATAAAGTAACTGTGTTGAAACTAAGCTGACATGAGTCTGGCCATGTCTAGATGGAGCATCTGGGAACCCCATGTACATCTCCTTGAGTACCACCTTGGGAGAAAAGCAGAACACTGCAAAATGGGGAAAAAAGAATGTATTACGAGTATTAATGACTTTGACTGACAAACGTCTTGTGGCATGAGCCTGTCTAGGCAAGACCGCCTTCTGATGTATCTAAATGGCACATGTAAGAACTGAAGCTAAGTGAGTTTGGTGCTGGTCATAGCCTGGATAGGAGGCCAGTTGGGAACCTGGTGCATGGTGCCTTGAGTTCCATGACTACAGAATGGAGGGCTATCAATGCAATCCATGTGGGTCTCTTTAGACATATAAAAAGGATAGGATAGGGTTAAATCTGATTTTTTTTCTTTAAATACCAAAGTGTGTTGGAATGCACATTTCTGACCTGACTAGTTTTTGTTTTGTTTTTTAATTTTCATCTTGTTATTGGGCATCTGCATCAGCCACTGACTACATTGGGAGGAAAGGGGTCATGAGTTCCTTTTGGAAAACGGAGCTATTATTAATGCATTACATTGAGCTGTGGTGTGTAGAAGGCTTTTAACAGTTCCCTGACATAACTGAGGACAGCCCAGGGGTATCATCATCGGTAATAAGAAGCCATTCCCATGCAATTTACGAGATAAAGCCTAATGAGTCCCTGCGAGCTGTTATAGTGTATTTAGTAAGCCTGAAACAGGAGGTATTTCAGTGTGGGGGTTATTTTGATTATGATTCATAGAATGAGGCTTGCAGAGCAGTGGGGTGGAAAGACAATCCCTGCACATCTTGGAATTTCATTGGGATTTTACTAACAGTAAAGTTTCATTGAAAAAATAAAGGATTAGATTTTGCGATGAGGTAGCCTCTTTTGTAACAAATACTAGAGATGCAAGACTTGCCTGTTCTTACTTCTGAGTTTTGTTGCTTTTTTTTAAGAACTAGGTGCCATTTTCCCCCCTTGAAATAGATACACTTGCATTTTTAATCCAGTTCAACAATGGGGGAAGATGATCTTTTAAAAAAGCAAATGTTCATAATTAGGGAAAGCAGAGCATTGCCTTTTAAAGGACCAGATCTTTTTCTTCAAGGGCTACCAAGATATCTGATATCAGAAGAAATGATAAACAAAATACTTGAATCTGCAGAGATGGATAATCTAACTTTAATTTTGAGAGAACAAGATGAAGGCAGCTTTGAAAATACCTGGTCGAGATTTTACAAATGGTTAGAGGACTACAATAAATAAACAATATGGTCATATAACCGTATTAGAAGAAAGTACGAACTATATCTTTAAATATGATGCAAATATTTACACAAACTACATGGTGGTAAAAATGAATAATATACAAGCAGACAATGTATGAGGTAACATATTAGACATAACAAGGATGTAAATGGAATCCCACAACGTGTGTGTATTTATGTTTGTTTTTGTTTGTTGGTTACAAAAAATAAAATTCCTTTTTTAAAAAAAGAAAAGAAATGAGACTGAAGCATTGGCATTGAGACTGAAGCATTTCACAGTAGTGCTTGACAGTGTCCTTGT